GATACTTTTTTTCGACGATTTTTGATAATTAATATCTCTTAAACTAAACGCGATAGCTACCAACGAATCGTTGATTATGAAAGATTGAAAAATTCTCTTTCAGATAAAAATATAAAATAATTAAATTTCCTACAGTAAAAGGTCGAAAAACGCGACTGAAAGTGCTAAAAAGTGACATTTTTCAATTTTTGCCCATTTTATTCAAACGCGAATATCTCGTAAACTAAAAGAGATAATTAAGATCTGATCGCAGCGTCTTATTCTACGGACTATTCTCTATAAGATAGGCTAGTTAAAACGAAAATCTGGGAGATGAAATTTTAATTCTTAAGAAAAAAAATGCCAAGGGGGGGTGCTTGATACTTTTTTTCGACGATTTTTGATAATTAATATCTCTTAAACTAAACGCGATAGCTACCAACGAATCGTTGATTATGAAAGATTGAAAAATTCTCTTTCAGATAAAAATATAAAATAATTAAATTTCCTACAGTAAAAGGTCGAAAAACGCGACTGAAAGTGCTAAAAAGTGACATTTTTCAATTTTTGCCCATTTTATTCAAACGCGAATATCTCGTAAACTAAAAGAGATAATTAAGATCTGATCGCAGCGTCTTATTCTACGGACTATTCTCTATAAGATAGGCTAGTTAAAACGGAAATGTAGGAGATAAAATTTTAATTCTTAAGAAAAAATGCCAAGGGGGGGGTGCTTGATACTTTTTTTCGACGATTTTTGATAATTAATATCTTTTAAACTAAACGCGATAGCTACCAACGAATCGTTGATTATGAAAGATTGAAAAATTCCCTATCGGATAAAAATATAAAATAAGTATATTTCCTACAGTAAAAGGTCGAAAAACGCGACTAAAAGTGCTAAAAAGTGACATTTTTCAATTTTTGCCCATTTTATTCAAACGCGAATATCTCGTAAACTAAAAGAGATAATTAAGATCTGATCGCAGCGTCTTATTCTACGGACTAATCTCTATAAGATAGGCTAGTTAAAACGGAAATGTGGGAGATAAAATTTTAATTCTTAAGAAAAAAATGCCAAGGGGGGGTGCTTGATACTTTTTTTCGACGATTTTTGATAATTAATATCTTTTAAACTAAACGCGATAGCTACCAACGAATCGTTGATTATGAAAGATTGAAAAATTCCCTATCGGATAAAAATATAAAATAAGTATATTTCCTACAGTAAAAGGTCGAAAAACGCGACTAAAAGTGCTAAAAAGTGACATTTTTCAATTTTTGCCCATTTTATTCAAACGCGAATATCTCGTAAACTAAAAGAGATAATTAAGATCTGATCGCTGCGTCTTATTCTACGGACTATTCTCTATAAGATAGGCTAGTTAAAACGGAAAACTGGGAGATAAAATTTTAATTCCTAAGAAAAAAATGCCAAGGGGGGGGGTGCTTGATACTTTTTTTCGACGACGATAATTCTTAGAATGAACTCGTAGCGTAAAACGAAGATTCGATTTTTGTATGTAAACAAGTTTATCTCTTGCGCGAAATCGCGTGATATCACACCGGCACAATGCGCACATACTACCACAAACAAATCATCTTTACTGCAAATAAATGCCTACTGCCACCACTGCCCGAATTATTGACCTATATTTAAATATGCTACTCATACTCAATAAATTAAAAATAATACACGCAGTTTAATATGAATGCTACCAAAACGGAAAGACCTAGAAACCAACAAAAAAAGCAAAAGAAAACTTAATTGTTGCGTAAAATTAAATGAAAATTTAATGAAAAATTAAAATTCGATTTGCGTAATTATGATTTCGTATGCGGACAAAGTGCCAGATTTTACATCAAATATTTAAGTGATATCTGCTTAAGTCATCTGCTGAAGATAAAAATGTTTTGCTGATGATGATTTTTATAATAAACTATTACACCTAATGTAAAATTGTTAGTTATATTCATGATTTGAGAATTGAAGAATACTTGCTTAAATTTACGATGCCAATATAAACTACAACGATGTGATATCTGCAGGTAAACAAACTTATCTCTTGTGCGAAATCGCGTGGTCGCACACGGACATGGTGTGCACTCACTACCACCGACAAGCAATATTTAACGCGTAAACGTGCATCCTAGTGCCAAGGGGGGGTGCTTGATACTTTATAGACGATTTTTGATAATTAATATCTCTTGAACTAAAAGAGATAGCAACAAACGAATTCCTTATAAGATACGACAAGAAAATAAGTCGTGGTGTAAAGGTTATAAAATTTAATTCATATTAGTTCATATTTTAAAAGTTTTCTTCGATTATGAATATCTTGTAAACTAAAACTGATAGAAAGGAGCGGAATAAAAATTCATAATCTATGAAAAATTCTCTATAAGAAAAGCTAGTTAAATTGACAATTAAAAAATTTAATAAATAATAATTGAAGATTATGAAACTTCGGAAAGATATTCTGTAAAAGACCATAAGGGAATAATTAAAATTCGAGACATAAAGTTCAGAAATCGTGTATAAAAGTGGTAGAAAGGAACGTATTTAAAATGATTAATCTTATTCTACTTCCCTATAAGACAAAGTATTAAAATAGTGTACTCGTATGCTGTGCCTCAGCCAAGCAACGCGACAACTCTTGATAAGACTATGCTGCCCGGAACGCGTAAAACCGGCGCAAGAATGTGCACAAATTTCAATAAGCACAAGACCGGCGATTTAAACAAAACTAGAACACCAGCATAGCGAGACGAGAGAGGATGGCAACGATAATTTTGCACGTTGCATGCCCTCGTCTGCTGATAAAAAAAAACAATACAAGCATATTTTACGATTTGAAGTTCATGCTATTGCCATCTATAAATTATACATGTAGTAGTCCCACAATTTGGACCAAGTATTGAAATTAATGATAAATTAAAATACGATTTACGTAATTCAAAATTACTATCTTGAGAGTTTGCCCGATTTTACATCAAATATGTAAGTGATATATAAATATCACTTAAGATAAGAAGTTGAGAAATATGTCTGATTAATTCTTGTCTAATTAAAACATCAAATTTCCATTCGGAATTTTCCATCAGACAAAATTTGTCATTTGGTAACATTGGAGAAAAGCAATAAACGTAGAACTGAACTGAAATCCAGGTGCACGCCAACCTCTTTCTAAAAATAATTAAATTATTTTACTTACCAGTTATGGAAGATAGTATTGAAGGCAAGTTGGTAGATACTGAAATAAATGAGAAACAAAACATTAGTAACAGAATTCCGTGCCATATTGAAATGAATCTGAGTTCCGTCGGAACCCAGTGTTTAAATTAAAATTCCGTTTATTCGCATAATAATGATAGCAATCACAATATTTACCAGCTAGCACGTTAGTCCATAAATCAGCTGCTGATGATAAAAATGTTTTTTCACAAGTCAATTAATTATTGGCTATCACAAAACATGGCCATGCGTCGCCCGACGGCAACGGATTCACAAACACGTGAATAAACTAAACACGTTAAATTTAGAATTACGAAGATTGCACACGCGAGAAATAGCTGATAAAAGATGAAACATGTTTATTAACACTAACTATCACCAGCGAACAGGAAATACAACGCGATTTACCAAACTTATATCAAAGAATAACACAAGCCGAAAGTGTGGAATCTGTTCTCGTCGTTATCGCACCGATGCAACAAAACAAAATTCACGCGCTGAAATATATTTAGTTAAACCTGCATTGTTGCGCCATCTGAGGACACATTCAAGTACCTCACAAAAACACAAAGTGTTTGAAACAGTGTGACGCGCATATGCAGCAGTGTTGATTTGTCTATGAGTCAGTGAGGTGTCACGCACTTAGATGGTAGCGTCCATGTGACACACGTACGGAAACGTGTGCGTGCACTACCCTGTCTAAATGAGTAGCAGTTTTATACAGAAATGCAATAAGTCAAATCTAGATGAGGCATGATGTTCAAATTTAAATCTGCGTTTTACAAGTATGATTCCAATATTAAATCATAAATCGGATTGTATCAGCGTTTCTCTTATAACAATTAAATACTATCAGGATAGAGAATATAATTTTGCATCTTTAAGCCCTGCGCTCAGGTTTATACGACTCTTCGTTTGCATTAACCGCCCCCACGTGTTTCAACGATAACACTCGGGATTCTCATGCGTTGCATTCCGAGTTAGACCCGAGTTATCAAAGCAACACCTTAAGAAACGAAAAAGAAAAGAAAGTGGTGACCTAAATGTACTAACAAAACCCAAGTGAATATCTCCTAAGAATACATACAACAATTCTATACGCATCGCTGTGCTCCGCGAACGCAACAAGTGAATATTTTATAGATAAGTTAAAGAATTCTTTACTTTCATACTGATAGATCAGCTCAGACGGGGATGAACAAACGATAACCGGCAAAATCAGGGACAAATTTTCAATAAAGAACTGCAACGTACTCGAGCGCCAAAGCTAGAGTCAGCATGTAGCCCAAAGTTACCAACATGGATTTTGAAAAAAGCGTAGACCGCATTAGAAAGAGAGGCAGATTTAGTAAAAATTTCAAATAAAAAATTTATAGATCTACGGACATTTTTTTTCTGAATAAAATGAAGAGAGTAATAACTAATTTAGAAAATATTAAATATAACACGGACACAACAATCCAGTATTATGAGTTGCCTACGACTAACTTTTCAGCAATATTTAACAATAGTTTTCCTAACCAATTCAAATATAATAATGAAAAAATAAAATAAAATTTCGTTCAAAATATTATTTTTTCTGTCATAAATTTAATAATTTTTTAATCAAATATCATTGATTGAAACCATTTCATAGAAAAATCGCATCAAACCGACAAATAGTCAACTACCAATCTCCATGTGCTTTACACGCAGTCAAACGACAGACTCAGACATCCTGGGAATTAAGTCATTATGAAATTTATTCGTCCAGTCAGTGAGCAAAACTTTGGCATGCGCCGTCAGTGAAATTCTCTCGCAGTGTCAAGTGCGCTTATGCCGTGTGCGGGCTGCGAACGCGGCGTGTCGTTGATGTCCTATCAGTTGCACGGCGGCGGTGGTACGAAGCGAACGATGCATTTACCGCCACCAGCAAAGTGATGATTAATCTCGCGACTAGCACGTAAAACACGCGCGTTTCGATCATTTATTTCAAATTCTCAGTGGTGACAAGTTGGAAAATATTTTGAAAATACATTTACAACTGGACATTTTGAAGTTTATTCTTATTTTAAATTGACTTTGGTGAGTATATACTAAATATTTAACTATTAATATCATCGATGCTATAAATAAGTTAGTGAAAATTTAAATGTTTTGTATAAAAATGCACTTTGAAGTGTTCAATGCCCCTGAAGTGGTTCTAACGAACTTGAAATCGGATGTTGATTTAAAATATGAGATTTCAAAGGTTGATTCGCGTAATCCGATGAAGTGGCTGATTAATAGCGTGGAAGCAGATTATTGTATTACCACCAAGGTTCAAAGTTACATAGCATTTCACATATCATAAAACATTGTTCATCGTTTAGGCTGGGTTAAGTTCATTTTCGTTGTAAGTATTGTCGATTGTTGTCTTTGTTGAGCTTTGTTCGCAGATTGCATATTATTACGTCAAAGTTTATCATGTATCATGATGCATACTTTTTGTACAAATGAATTAATAACTTAAAAACTACTTGCGATAAAATTATGATGACAATTTCTTGAGTCAAGTTCTTCACATAATAATAATGAAAAAATGACTTTTATTAAATCAATTAAAATGGATTATTAAACATTTATAATTATCATATTCATTGACCTTTAATTTTTTGTCCGAAATTATGAATTATTTAATTGAATCATAAAAGAAATCAGGCTTTAATTCAGCATATACTAATAAAAATATTGTTAAAATGAAATAAGTAGTGTTAATATAAGCAGTAAATAAACATAATAATAATCTGTAACATTTGATTTTTTCTTGTTGTTAGTAAATTGCTCAAAAACTTTTTACGTTGGAATTATGATTATTTTCGAAAATAATTCTTAAATAAGATTTACATCTTTCTAAGAATAGAGTTGGTTTATCCAACGATTCAGTAAAAAATTATAATCAAATTAAAAGATGATTTTCGAAAAATAAATTCGAAATAAATTCTTGATTGATTTTAATGTAGCGTATAATAAATAACATCAAGTTATTCAATATCATGATAGTTATATTTACACTTTCGATAAAATTATGTTTACATTTTACTGAATTAAAGATTAAAACCTGGTGCAATATTATATTCCGACAGCACATGTCGCAAATAATTTTCTCACGAATTAATCATATTTATAACATTTAAAACTAAATGCATTTGTAAATAGTATCAGGTGATTAAGAATACTATTCATTGCATTAGTTAAAATATGCACAATTTTCAATATCAAGTTCATGATTACTGATTGAAAACGCCGTGATCTTTAGTACACTTATACAGATTATAATATAATAAACGAGTACTCGTATGTGTTGGCGTTAGTGTGGATACGCATGATTATCATCTCAGGGTTCAAACGTTCAAATGCATGTACTTACTCAACAGTGTCGTCGGACATCATGCCATGTCGGATCATCGCGCGGATCACGTTTAATTAGCATGTAATTGTGATTTCATTGCGTAACTCTGCGCAAATCTTTGAATAATTCCGCTTGTTTAAATTTTTATTTTTTTGTGTGCTAGGTAGTAATTTATTAATGATTTATTGCACTTTGATTTTAATTAAATATAATTTCGGCTATTTTAGATTTTTTTCTACTTCCACCTTTAAAGCGCTAGTTTTTCTACGATTTTTAGATACAAAAAGTGGTACTTTACTTTATACACGGACAACGAAGGTCGTGACTAAAGTACTTTAGTCAGGGGGTGGAGCTTGCGCCTACGCATTTGCAGCACAACATCATATGAAATGTCCCAGTAATGAGCGTGCGAATTTCGAAGATTTAAAACACAAAAGTTCTAATAGAAAAACCTTAACATGGAAATACATAGAGTGGAAGTAGAAACGTCGCTAAACGTTGTTAAATATAAAAACTTCCGTTTAGCCACTTGATACTTAATAGGTGTAGGTACTATTTTTGGTTTCTAGGTAGTAATTAATGATTTATTGATGTTATCGTAGAATTACTGATTATTGCACTTTGATTTGAATTGAAAATAATTTCGACTCTTATTGAATTTATTTGGGTGCAATATTCAAGGTTCCACTTTCAAACATTATTAAAAATAAAGACACAAGTGCCTAAAAATATCAATATCATAATTAATTTCTCAATTTATCAATTTGGCTATATAAGTCATGCTTTTGAGGCTGCATAATAATTTTTTGATTTTAATTTTTGCTTTTTGAGGTAAATATTACATTCATTTTCATAATTATGAAAAATTTAATTAGAATATTTACATTAAAATATTCGTCATGTGTCACACCCATGTCTTTCTGTCTGCGTAAACTAGAACAAAGCACAAAAAATCACGCTACGAGCATTTGATGTCATTTTAAAAACACCAAAGCCTAACTTCATGTAATTTTGTATACTTACAAAATTTTGTATAAATCTAATGTAGATTTAAAATAAAGCAAAATAAAATTCAAGTAACTACATACTTCCGGAAGTCATCAAGCAAATCAAACAAGCTTTCAACCTCAAACCTCATATCAAACAGTCAATCAAGCAACAATACATAAAACATAAAAAATTGTATTGGCGCACATAATTTCCCGCCCATTACCTCATTACATGCTCGTAACATTGAAAATATAAACACAGCCACTGACTTCGAAAATATTTTTGTTTCTTTGTTGTGCGCATAAATCAATACCCGAAACAAACAAAGTGTGTTTTTTGTCTATTTCGTGTGATCGACACGCGGTGACTGATTGCTACCACTTTAGACTGCGTAATTCGCTCAAATGGACCTAGGAATTTTATTGACGATGCTTGCAAAGTTCTACAAACATTTGTACGCACACACAGTGTAGTGTGTAACCGGACTGTCAACATAAAACACGAACAATACACCAGTGAATAGCATTACATACAGTGCTTTTGTTTGCTTTATTTACTGTATGCGTGGCTGTTGATTCACAATTGAGTTGCGAGTTCTCGGGTCGGGTTGCATTTGTTGAAATACAGGGTTTGGTTCCGACTGGGTTATTGTCATGCGTCGTTAACATTATTCCGGCAACTGTGCGTTTTCTTGTAATTTGCAAAGGACATTGGGGGATAGAGATAACAAAAAATGTTTAAATATAAATGAACAAAACCTGCATGATTGTTGGGTGTGATAAGGGACGAATAGTTTTTATGTCGTGTATAAAAAACTGTTTGAACAGTTATATTTATCATTTAAAAACGAAGTTTAATTATTGCATAGTAATGCAATGTTTTTATTTCAATAATTTACAGAATTTATTGTTAAAACTGATTGGTTTTTCGTCAATATTTTATGCGTTATAAATAAATGTTTACCTCTATTCATGAAAATAATATTTATCGTCACGTAAAAATACAAAAACATCATCAAAATATATCTAAAAATAACCGAATGCTTTTGTTATTAAAATTATACCTAAATATATTATAATAAATCGTGTTTTCCTGTTTTCAGCTATTTTTATATTTGAGACCTAACAAATTAAGCAAATAACAAATATCAGACAGCTAAAATTATGTTTTTTCCGTCGTGAAACTATGTCTCGAACAATCCAGCTTGTACGTGTACTTAGTATGCTTGATATTTGTGATAATACATCATTATTGATGTCGTGCATAAAACCACCCGCAACACGCATCGATAGAAACAAGGGAAAGTTAAAAATATAGCCAACATTTATTTCATTTCATCAGGCAATTATAACCGGTGTTCATTTCATTAGAAAATTACTGATATTTAAAGTACTTTACTTGGCAGTAGAAAAAAAAGTTAAAAAACAAAAAGAAAGAAGCATACACCCATAGTATTTATTTCACTGCTTTCTATTGTGTAGAGGATTCTTTATATTTTGTTATATTGTGTTTTTCATTGTTTACACACATGCTTTGTTTCCTTATGGAAAAAACGACAACATGTGGTAAGTTGCGTGTGGAGTTTGTAATCAATCAATGAAAATAAAACAAATATCGAGTTCAATTCGAATAAAAGTCAAGGAACATGATTAATATTATGATAGCATCTGATGAGGTCATATTCGATTGCAATTCATTATAAGTTTTAATAGGTACCATCACTGTCACAGACATAATTTCGTTATAAGTTATGCAACCCAACACACACACAACACAAGTGTCAGGAGTACGAGTAAGTTTCACGAACGCGTGCGTTCCTGAACGTGATTTAATAAACGTCGCTTTTCTGCGTTAACATCATGCATTATTATTCTAATTTCGTTTCGCGCCGCACTTACTGTAATGAGTGCAAAGGTCACAGCACCAGCACACTTCTCAATATCTGCTCTAGAATTTTATGGGGATATATTAAATGCACTTTAGTTAAAATACAATCCACTTGAACAGCCGCACTTAAGTTTTCATACTTTGCACTAAGAAATTCATATTATGCACTATAGATTGTATAACTTATATTTTAATACAATGCACTTATATATTCAGGTTTAAGCTTAAATTTGCTTTGAATCAACTTTTTAAATTGAAACTTTATAATTTGTGGTGGTTAGGTAGGGTACCTTGTTTGGTATTATTTGTGGGGCGGTCGGGGGGTAGGGGTGGTCGGGGGTGGGGGGTGGTGGTTAGGTAGGCTACCTTGTTTGGTATTATTTGTAGGGCGGTTGGGGTGGTCGGGGGTGGTGGTTAGGTAGGCTCCCTTGTTTGGTATTATTTGTGGGGAGGTTGGGGGTTGGGGGTGGTGGTTAGGTAGGCTACCTTGTTTGGTATTATTTGAGGGGCGATGGGGGGGGGGGGGCTGATAGAAGGGGCCGGCTAAGAGTACGGCACGTACTTAATACTGCAAGTTTTATAAGTGCAAAGTATTAATTTCATAGTGGAAAGCATTTTATTCAAGTGGAATTCATTTTTCAAAGTGCAAATATTTATTTTTAAGTTCAGTTCTGTATTTTTAAGTGCAAACATTAATTATAAGTGCATTTCATGAATTGACAAGTTAAAAATCGAAAAAATAAAGTTTGTTTAATTACATGCCGAATTTTATTCTGCATATTCATTTGTTTATGTATTTATAATGCGTCTATTGTGTCTATTTGTTATTTAACTGGCATGGGGCGTGTTATTCGCGCCTGGAATATCAATCGCACTTTACGAGTTCTTATACGTTCTTATCTTGGGTATAGTTGGGTAGTATATCTCGCCAACGGCTGTGAGATTAATCAAGGTTTCAAGATGGCTGCGCGCAGCACGTCTGTCGAATAATTCAAGCATTGTATCACAATCTTGTGTTGTTTAACTACTGAAAGCAAAAACTGCGTCACTGAGTGATAGAATATTACTTTACATAACCATATTTCAACTGTTTATGCTTGTTTTGAGGTTAGTTTACTGTGAAAGGTGACATTTGTGAGTCAACTTGGGCATAAACAAAACTTTCCACCTTTGAATATTTAATCTTAATTAAATCCTGCATTGTTTGCAAATAAAGCACCACTTGACGAAAACACCATTGTACTTATTTAAAATAACAGAAGACTATTTATTACTTTCCAGATTAATTTTCTATTATAGACCAAAAAACTAGTTTTATGATATTTCTAACCAATATCTCGTTAAGAAACGCAACTATTTTTAGTTACATACTTAAATATCGCAATTAAAACCCACGTTACTCATAAATTTTAATAGGAACTAATAAAAATCGTATAATGCGTAATTCTATTTTGTTTTACGTGCGTGTTTTTCAATATTTTCTATAGAATCTGATTGTATAATGCCGAATTGTTCAATCAACAATGAAAAAAAAAGTAAGTGTATTTTCACTTTGTGGATTATCGCACATTCACAAATCAATGTACAATGTTCAAAATGCATTGTGCATAACTTGCATGTAATTACGGTGGACTTGCGATTGTTTTCGTTTTTGAGTCATTTTAAAAAATTCATACCGTTATCATACAATCGATAGTGAAGTGAATTCTATCAGAGATCGAATTTAATCAACGTGCACGCGAGTTATTGACATTTACGCGATTTGTGCGCATCGACAGCACATGTATTAATAAAAGTTGCTTTCAAATCAATTACTGACTTTACTTTGTGTGTTGTGTTACAGCAATGGGGTGTTTAATATGTTCAGCTGTGCTCTATGGCTTACCTTTCTTATACGCAGCGGTCGTCCTGGCGTGGAAAAACAGTCCTCGAGCGAAGGCCTTGATTAAATTCAGTCTTTACGCTGTTCTCAGTGTTGTCGCTGCAACTCTGCCAATTCCATTAATGCTTCTGCGACCGAAGAGCAGCAAAAATGCCCTGTGAGTAGATTATAACCTTTGTTTTAGTTTAATGTAGGCAACCAGCATTGACTTAAATAACATTGTACTGTCAAATTCAAATATTTTTCTATTTCCACTTTTAAAACGACAGTTTTTCAAATTTTTAACGTTGTTAAAGGCCGATTAGCGCCCTTGATACTTAATATACTATTATGAATGTATTTAGAAAGCCCGGAAATTAACGCTCTTTCTGATCGATTCGTTTTCTGACGTAGATTTCCGGCGGCGTGCTTGCGAGTCTTCGCCCGATATGTTCTCGGCGTGGAGTTTACCGTCAAGGGCAAGGAACACATCGCCAAAGATACAGGCTGTGTCATCGTCATTAATCATCAAAGCGTCGTCGATCTAATAGGTAACTACTTGCACATATACTTCCATTACGTGTAAATATTTAATGTCAATTTTATTTCCTCAAAATTGTTTTGTTTTTTTGTAGTTCTCGCTGAATTGTGGCCGATAATCGATCGATGCACTGTGATCTCAAAGAAGGAGATCTTTTATATTTGGCCGTTTGGACTTGCCGCATGGTTATGGGGCACAATATATATCGATAGATTAAATGGCGCACGTGCAAAGGACTCTATTAACAATACCGGTACATTGATACGCGAACGCAAACATCGAGTTCTTATGTTCCCTGAAGGTACACGCAGTTTGAAAGATCAACTCTTACCTTTCAAGAAGGGCGCTTTCCATCTCGCTGTAGCTTCACAATGTCCAATTCAACCGGTGGTTGTTGAGAAATATCACTTCTTGGGCAAACATCGTTTTGACAGCGGTAAACTAAAAGAATTTTAATAATTTATTATAGGCAACCCAACATACACCAAACATTCAAATGTTGTCTACGTTTGATACTAATATTAATATTATTTTGTAGGACGAATCGATATTGAAATCTTACCGGTGATTCCTACCGAAGGATTGAGCTCTGAAAATTTACCAGAGGTGATTGATAAGACATATCGCATTATGCAAGACCAGTTGGACCTTATGTCGTCGAAACATGATGCTTGCGCACCTAACAACAACGTTGTCAACTCCAAACACGCATTAGACTGATTTACCACAACTTATCATTAAATAACTGACCACAAAATTAACAACAAAAGACACAACACGTAAGAGAACAAGGATATTTTAATAAAAAGACATATCGAGTAAAAGTGTATTCAACAAGTTGGTATGGGAACAGAACAAGTAAAGTTAATAGAAATGTCTTTTATTTGATCTACAGAACACCTAGTTTTAATATATTATTGTTATTATATTTACATACTTAATAATAGTTACAACAAAGCTACACCAATTGTGTTAAACTGTTAGTTGATAAAACTCAACACAAGTTTCCAGATAAATTTATAATAAAACATCTGATAACTGTACATATACAATATACAAACAGAACTATGTCAAAAAATGGTTTTATAACGACTGGTGACATTTATTGTTTACTTGTGGGAATTTTCATTTGTTTCCCGTTAATAAACATAGAAATAAATGTCGAAAACAATTGCAGAATCTAAGATAAAACGTGGTTTGCAGAAGGCAAATTGTTTTTTGATTGCGTTTTATAAAGAAATATAAAGTGCAATGGAATTTTACTTAAAAATGACGATATACGCCTTATCTCAAGATGTGGGTCATCTTGTTTGGGAAATCGATGAAAACGTGCTGGCAGTGCCAAGTTTGCTGATTCTCTTCGATTTTCACCGCATCGTTTGTCGGCCGTCTATTTTAACAAATGTAGGCAACACATGTTACAGTCTGTTCATTTCACTACAGTTCTAAGAATGTTTTGTTTATGTAATTTCAACTTGCGTTTGGCCAATATTGATTTTAGTTCAACTGTTTATTCAAATATGATTTTGTTGATTTAATTATTGGTCTGTTTCAAGTATAAATCAGTGAAATTGTCTTGAATGTTATTAAAGAAACTGCAAAACTTGTTGAGTTGCGCTGAAAAACTCACTGTTCTTTGCGCACGCGCAACATATTGATTTTTACGACAAACAATCGAAGCTTTCTCAAATAAAACAAAAACTTGTCACCTAATCGCTCTGACATAGCTAGAAGTCAAAAACAATGCCAATAATCAAATTTCCGTTGATCAAATGCGTATTTTGATGCTTATCTAGGTGATAATATTGTGAAAATAGTCGAGTGGGTTTGATAAGCGCGCCGTTGAATGCGCGTAACGATTGGGTGAGTCATGCGCACAGCGGCGCGCTCCGGCAGTCGCACGGCCATGTTCACGTCCCGCGTACGCACACTCGCGTAGCACACACCAGCACACGGCAATCGGCGAGGCGCTGGCGGGTGTCTCGGTTCGTGTTCCATAGTCGATCGAGAGTGTAAATTCGTCGGGCGCAGCGGAGACTGCGAGAGGCGTGTTATCGTGCGGTGTGAGAAGCGCATAACCAACCGCCGCCAGGATGTCGGGCAACCAGGGCATGGGGCAGCTGATTCCCATCGTGAATCGGCTGCAGGACGCCTTCACGTCGCTGGGAGTGCATATGACGTTGGACCTGCCGCAGATCGCTGTTGTGGGCGGACAGTCAGCGGGCAAGAGTTCGGTGCTGGAGAACTTCGTCGGCAGGTATATCCATCGATATGCGTACACATACATATCGACGTGCCCTCAAACCCAACCGAGTCAATCTCACCGATCCGCGTTTCGTTCGGTGATTTGATTATTGACCCGTGTGTCAAACGCGCCGCGAATGTCACTACAAACCGTTGACGTTTTATTATCGCGCGTATGAATCACACTCGCCCGCGCCGATGAAGAGAAGACTCCTCTAGGGTCAATACCAATGCACAGATGATCTGACCCCCTAAATTCCCCTCTCGGATAATTAGCTGCTTCGCGTCAATTGCATTTAAATTATTTACGCTGCACACACATGCAATTAACATCATCTTCATGGCATGACTAATGCGTCGTGCGAGCAGCGTCGTCCGCTTTGTTTCCTCGGACGGCGATTCTTTTGTTTCCATCGGTGCGCGCTTTTGTTTTAAACAAGCGACAATCGCCGCGGTCGCTCCAATTTCAGCCGCCGACTTCCAACTTGAGTTGAGTTGGAGTTATTGATTTGTGTGTGCAATGGGTTTATGTAATCTTTAACTTCATTGGATACATTTAATTTCCAACGAGTTAATCACGTTAATTTCGTCGTTACGCAAATGCGTCGGGTTTTGAAATGCATTTGTTTCGGCCTTGTGGGTGCAAATCGCCACTTTATATGTTTACTTGTGCAAGCATAGTTGTATTTTGACACTATCATCATTTTATCATAGGGACTTCCTTCCCCGTGGCTCTGGTATTGTGACGAGGCGTCCGCTTATCTTGCAGCTCATAAATTCACCCACTGGTGAGTAAAACAAGTGAAAATGTAATGCACAAGGTCAATGACTTATTCTTTTGTTTTTCCTGTTCATAGAACATGCCGAGTTCTTGCACTGCAAAGGCCGGAAGTTTGTGGACTTTGTTGAAGTGCGCAAAGAAATCGAAGATGAAACTGATCGCGTCACTGGAAGCAATAAGGGCATTTCTAACGTGCCCATTAACTTGAGAGTGTATTCACCTAACGGTAAGATAATAATAATTCAATTTTATTAACTTGTATTAATTGTTTTGGTGTAATTTCAGTGTTAAATCTCACATTGATTGATTTACCTGGCTTGACAAAAGTACCTATCGGCGATCAGCCGGCTGACATTGAGGCGCAGATTCGCGGCATGATTATGCAATTTATCAAACGCGAGTCGTGCTTGATTCTTGCCGTCACTCCGGCCAATACTGATTTGGCAAACTCTGATGCACTCAAATTGGCCAAAGATGTTGACCCACAAGGTAAATACAAATTTTATATCAATATCTAATCAATATATAAATATTTATACATACATTAAACTTAAAAGTCGCAAGTGTTTCGATAAGGTTATGTTGTTCGTCCACCTAGCGGCAATATTGTGTACTTTATTGTTTGACAGCTGTTTACGCAAGTTAGGCGAAAATAATAAAAATGCTTTACTGCTATATGAATCAGATGAAATGCAATTTTATGCTGATATTTACATTTTAATTTGTTTAGGTATACGTACAATTGGTGTAATCACCAAGTTGGATTTGATGGACGATGGTACCGACGCGCGCGATACACTTGAAAATAAACTATTGCCGCTGCGTCGTGGTTACATTGGCGTAGTAAACAGATCACAGAAAGACATTGACGGGCGCAAGGATATTAACGCTGCAATGTCCGCTGAGCGGCAGTTTTTCCTCAGCCACCCGTCCTATCGTCACATGGCCGATCGTCTTGGCACACCCTATTTGCAACGCGTTCTCAACCAGCAGCTGACGAATCACATCCGTGATACACTGCCTGGTTTGCGCGATAAACTGCAAAAGCAAATGCTCACACTTGAGAAGGACGTGGAACAATTCAAACACTTCCGACCTGATGATCCATCAATTAAAACAAAGGCTATGTTGCAGTATGTATCCCAATATTTCTATTAAACTCTGAATAAATTTAAAAAAATTAATGTTTTACAGAATGATTCAACAACTGCAGTCGGACTTTGAGAGAACTATCGAAGGCTCCGGCTCAGCGTTGATCAACACGAATGAATTATCAGGTGGCGCGAAGATCAACCGTTTGTTCCACGAACGTTTCCCCTTCGAGATTGTCAAGATGGAAATCGATGAGAAGGAATTACGCCGGGAGATTTCGATCGCAATTCGAAATACTCACGGTATTCGCGTTGGTCTCTTCACTCCGGACATGGCTTTCGAAGCAATCGTTAAGAAACAGATTAGTCGTTTGAAGGAACCGTCATTAAAGTGTATTGACTTGGTTATTATCGAATTGTCGAATGTTGTGCGAACCTGCACGGAGAAAATGAGCCGCTATCCTCGTCTGCGCGAAGAAACCGAACGCATTATCACTAGCTACATTCGTACACAAGATCAGCTCTGCAAGGATCAAATCCTTTTGCTTGTCGATTGTGAACTGGCCTATGTGAATACCAATCACGAGGATTTCTTAGGTTTTGCAAAGTAAGTTGATTCTCTTTATAGTATAAGCGGGGGTTTAATGTGTACGAGTATTGACCACAGTGCACAGAATCAGTCGGAGAGTCATCAGTCGAAAGCAGGCACGCGCCACGCCTTAGGCAACCAAGTCATCCGCAAAGGGTACATGACTATCAACAATCTTGGCTTGATGAAGGGTCGCGCGGTTATTGGTTTGTGTTGACTTCGGAGAGTATTTCATGGTTCAAGGATGAAGAAGAGCGTGAAAAGAAGTACATGCTGCCGTTGGATGGATTGAAACTTAGGGATATCGAACAGGGTTTCATGTCGCGTCGTCATACATTCGCCATTTTCAGCCCAGACGGTCGTAATGTCTACAAGGTAAACATATATTTACAAAATTTAATGAAGGATGTGTTTAATCGAATAAAATTTAGGATTTCAAACAATTGGAATTGGGATGTGAGACAACTGACGACGTGGATTCCTGGAAGGCGTCGTTTTTGCGCGCTGGTGTCTATCCCGAGAAGCAAACGGAGGCGATGAATGGCGAAGAGGTAATTATTAACTGATCCGCATTGATTGTGACCTCTAAAATTGACTCTTGTTCTTATCACGTGCATTTGTTTTACAAAATCAGATCGCTCAAGTGAGTTTTGGATAAAAAAAACATATTTTCGATTCGTTACAATTTTTTACAATCTCTTTCATTACTCGCAATTGTATTTACTCTTTAAAATTACAACACGCACTTATTTTCCTCACTTCGTTCAAATACTCTTGTGCTACACGACGTTTAGTATACAAACTGTTTCTAGTTTCAGTTCTTTATACCAATTTTGTACCCAAAGCCGCCACAGGCAAGCAATGTTCTTCACAGGTCTTTGAATAATTGATATTAACATGCGAATTAACAGTGTGTATACTAATCACAGTAGATTTTGCTGAGACTTTTAATACGACATTTTCTTATCTTTGCGCGCCACTAATGTTTTTCTCGTTTGTGCATCAGGTGGATAATTACCAGGTGCGTGCTTTGTGGAGAGTTTCATTATCGGTTATCTAGTCGAACGTAGGTATTAATCAATTTCTATGAATATAGGCACAAGAACAGAGCAACACATCGACCGATCCGCATGTGGAGCGACAGGTGGAGACAATCCGCAACTTGGTTGACAGCTACATGCGTATTGTTAACAAAACAACAAAGGATTTGGTTCCGAAGTGCGTGATGCTGCTCATTGTCAATCGTGTCAAAGAGTTTATCAACAGCGAATTGTTAGCTCATTTGTATGCTAGCGGAGATCAGGTAATTTATTAAACAGATTTTTTTAAATTTCGTATTTATTTTTATTTTTATTATTTTCAGGCTTCCATGATGGAGGAATCTCCAGAGGAAGCACAGAAACGTGAAGAATTGTTGCGCATGTACCACGCTTGTAAGGAAGCGCTGCAAATCATTGGCGATGTATCGATGGCAACCGTTTCTACGCCAGTACCTCCACCAGTTAAGAATGACTGGCTGGCCAGTAGTTTAGACAATCCGAGATTGTCGCCGCCCAGTCCGGGCGGACCTAGGAAACCAACGCCGCAAGGCCCAGGTAAAAACAATCCTTTTTTTAAATAATTTCCCTAACAATTCCTTTAAAAATCATCCTAATTTAGTCCAAACTATGAAGAATAAAGTGTCCACATTTTTTGCTATGATTTTTACCTCTTTCTCCAGTGGTAAGCGCCTGAAATTGCTTGGTTCTAAATTAACTTTTCTATTTTTCAGCAGGAATGGGTGCACGCGCGCCGCCAGTTCCACCCAGCTCCGGCAGGCCAGCACCCGCCATCCCTAATAGACCCGGAGGTGGAGCACCGCCTATGCCACCCGGCAGACCAGGCGGTCAAGGCCTACCAGCCCCACTCATCCCCACGTAAGTACAATTTACTACACGCCGACTAGTTTCTACTAACGCTGTGCTGAATTATTAGCGAGTGTTGGTGGAATCGGGCTTTTCTCTTTTCCTTCCACCCTGTTAACATATTAATATGGTGCACAGCGCTTGGGGTTGCCTACCAATGAACATTTCAATATTTAACGCATTGTTTTGAATTAATATTTTGTGTATTTGTGTTGGTTTTCACCATGGTGGACAACCCTACGCTTTTGTGAGTTGTGTGATATCGCCTTAGGCCTTCTTTCCATCCGGCTTGAGGTTGTGGTTCTGTTTGCAGGAGGCGTTAAAGCATCTACTTCTAACCAAAAAAAAAACCATCAAAACACACCCCACAATTTTCAACTAACGATAGCAAACCACTAACACACTTCTAAAACTCCATTTGTCTCTTGTAATTCTCTACATCTTCTGCATATATAACATAACAAGGCGTTTGTCCAAAAGCTTTTCGCGTAGAATCGTAAAATATTAAGTACGTGCTCGTTGTTTGAGCAAAAATGTTTACTCGATGCTTACAAAAAAAAAATAATAATAATGCTAAGGAAAGATGCGAACGTATCGTACTGATATATTGTGACTATTAACACGCAAGACAACAACTAAAACTAAACCAAAAACCGAAACCGCAAGCCTTCTCAAATCGGGCTCTTTCTATTCTCTATAGCCGACCCGGCAGCGGCGGCCAGGGGGGCGTCCAGATTCCCCAACAGGTGCAGATGGCGGTGGGACGTGCTGTCACCCAAGCAGCAGTCAACGAATTCACCAATGCCTTCAAGTTCCACAAGTAAACTCACAAAATTCTATTTTTAACAAATGTGCGATTTTACGCCGAAATCAATCCATTTTAAATGTTACAATGCCGAGGCGGCAGTGAGCGTGGCGCGCTGATTGAATGCAAATACAATATCATTAGCTAATATCGCTTGTTAATAGTGTGTAACATGTAGCTGCGTTTAACAATTAATTTAAATAACTTAGAAACAGCTGTTAACACGACACTAACCATTCGGTATCAGGTAAAAGGTATAACAAAAGCCGGAAAACACTCAAGCAATCGAAATACTTAAGTAATTGAGGTCCACATCGAAATCACAATTCATCAGTGTTGAATATGTGACGTTTGTCTGTCTGTCGATAGCAATACACCTGATGACACACTCACACACGAGACAAAGTTAATGTATGTATTGCGCCGATTTCAAGTGTAGTTTAGACGCTTTAGCAGTTTATGGATTTTTTGGAACGCACACGAGTGACGATTGGCGATGATTCCTTTGCTTCTTGCCGAATTCGTGCGTATTATTATCGTAAACATAGCATAGCGGCTAGAAATATAAATATCACACCCACAAGTTCTTCGTGTCTATCTTATTGCGGTAGCTAAACTAAACAGTAAAGGTAAACTTACTATTACTATTCCATAGATGAAGTTTTGATTCGCGAGTGCAAACCGTACTACTATTCTAATTTAGCTTTTGTGATGATAGCCACTGCGATGATCAGCGGAATGTATTTTATTCGTCGGCATATCAATAGCAAACAATCTCGTATCTTAGACTCGTTTGTTTTGATGGTTGAACGGGACAAGCAACAAGAAAACCTAATAAATAAGCTGAAATGGTATTTAGTCGAACGTCAATTAATGGCTTTGCTATTTGTTCTCTACATAATGTATGATATATAGTATGAGGGCGATGATAAGTTAGGAGGGCAGAGTTGTTAAATTGATTGCAATACATACAGATATTAATTACTAAGCTATATTGCATCCTCCAACCAAATTGAAGTTTGGTGCCCAAACACATTTCGTAACAAATGTAATGTAATACTTAAACATTATCTAGCAACATACAGCATACCATATAAAAAAAGTATATACATATACAAAGAATATATATATATATATATTAACTGTTTTACCTGATGAATCTTGTTGTTAAATGAATATTGAAATCTATATTATATAAAAACTATGATCATTGAGTATAGCCTATAGTTCATAGAGCAAGACACTCACATTGTAGCTGGATGACCACGCAACACACCACACACATTCCAAAAAAACATTGATTGAACGCACCATTGACATGTCATTGTTAAATACGAAATTGTCTTTAAAAGAAGCAGTCTTATGTTATTGTGGTGAAGACGGAGGCGTGCGGCATGTTCTCGCGAACGTTTTGTTTCTTATTATACCAAAAATATCTGCTGCTCTGTCGCTTGTATGTGAACGTGTAAATAATAATGTATTAAGCGCGCTCGCGAGAACTGTCGTATGATGATGTTGAATTTTGGCACATTTCACACTAAAAAATGAATGAAAAAAAATCTTAATGATAGGCGTTAACACATTATAACATACCAAAGAAATGGGGGGCGGAGGTGCGAAATAAATGGTGACAAAAAAAATAATAATACTGAGTTGGAAGATGTAGAAATTAGTACTAATATTAATATTACTATGATATAACTTACTTGAATGTGTAAATATAGGTATAACAAAATTAACCGTTGAATGATGATTGATTTGTGAGTCCTTGTGTGATTTAACAAAGAAATTCGAGGGTTTCTTTGCTAAATTTTGATTTGTTTCGCATTAAATCTTTATATTTTCTATCGTTAATCGAACAGTTTTGCTTGCTTTCCAGTAATTTTACTACTTCTGTCTGATTTCTTTGTTTTGTGTGTATTTCTGTTTATGAATTGTGTTTTTTTGTTTCGACTTTGATGAATTCAACTTACGTATTACAGTCGTCCTGTGCCTAATATTCCCCCGCGGATTCCGGACCGACCGTATTCGACGGGCAGGCCAAATTAAATGCTCCTGACTGTTCGACGGACAACTCCCGCACTCGCACAGCAATTTGTCCCTAAACTAGGAGGCGCCACTGGACGTGGTGGTTGCAGTATAATGATGGTGCAAGCAACATGTGAATACACGAAACGTTTGTGTGATTTTATTGTTGTGAACATGCGTTGCTATTCAATTGTGCTTGATGTTTACGAGAAGAGTGTTTCTTCTGGGCACACACGATTGATGGACAATGAAGAGATTTGCAATTTTGTAAATATTATCGTCGATAATATTCTTTTATAAACTGTTTATAATTATTTGATTTTATTATCGCCACGTCTTATTTAGTTTATTATTTCTTTTCTGTTTCTGGGTGGCGCATTATAGCTAATTTAAACGATTTAATTGATTGCTTAATGTAACGCGATGACAAACGAGACGGATGCACGCGGCGCGCACACAGAGCGAGAAGAACTGCTAGCGGCGGGATTTTTGTACAACTAGTCTGATTGTATAGTATTATTTGTATAATATTTTCGTAAGATACGCCTCTTATTTCAGGTACTGTAAGTTAACAAACAAGATTATTACTTTTTACGTTATTTATTTTATTGTTACCATTACTAAATTGGAAGTAAATTCAAGAAATTAAAGTCCTTTTTGTTCCTCAACAACTTACATTCAGACATTTTGAAAATGTTTTAAACATGGTGGTGCTAGTGTAGTCAGTGTTATTCCGCGCATGCGCAGTTCTCACCTAACTTTTGGTTGGTTATGCGCTTACTTCCCGCCAAAACACTCGTTCGGTTATTACTTGTTGTGCGGTCGTGTTATCGTCAATTTTGTTTAAAATAAGTGTTTATTTGTTTAATTTTATAAATTAACTCTTCAAAATGATTGAGCCGCAAGATATTGATCAAAGACAGCGTGAGTTGCAACGCGAATACTTGGATTTTTTGGATGATGAAGTAAGTGATCTAAGATTTTACTTGAAGATTTATAATTTCAGAAAAAAGGTTTTTCTCATTAAATTCTTGATTTTTGTCGTATAGGAAGACCAAGGAACTTATTCCACGCTTGTGAAAAATATGATCGCAGACGGCAGTCGTCGTTTAGTGGTCAATATCAATGATTTGAGAAGAAAGAACCCTGCGAGAGCAGAAAGCCTCTTGAATCATGTTTTTGAAGAGCAGGTTGCTTTTGAGAAAGGTCTAAAAGAGTTCGTTATCACCATTAATCATGAATATGCAAAAACCCAAGATGAGTTTTTCATTGCTTTTGAGGGTAGCTTTGGTAACAAGCATGTTACTCCAAGAAACTTAACTTCAAGTTACTTGGGGAACTTGATTTGTGTTGAAGGCATTGTAACAAAATGTAAGATGTTTCTATCATTTTTAAAACCGCCATACTTATTAAAATTATTTTGTGTTAGGCTCTCTTGTCCACCCAAAAGTAGTAAGAAGTGTGCACTATTGTGCTGCAACAAAGAAGATCATGGAAAGAAAGTATACAGATCTGACTTCAATGGAAGCATTCCCCACCAATTCAGTATATCCTACCAAGGATGATGAAGGCAACTTGTTGGAGACAGAGTTTGGTATGTCTACTTACAAAGATCATCAAACGATTTCCATTCAAGAGATGCCTGAAAAAGCGCCGGCAGGACAATTACCACGCTCTGTGGATATTATTGTTGATAATGATTTGGTAGACAAGTGCAAACCAGGTGATAGAATTCAAGTTGTTGGCAATTTTAGATGTTTGCCTAATAAACAGGGAAGTTTTACAAATGGTACATTCAGGTAAATCAGTAATAATAAATTTTATTAATTACATGATATTAATATTTGTTTAATGTGTTTGTTTAGGACAATTGTGATTGCAAACAATTTAACTCTTCTGAGCAAAGAAGCTAATCCATCGATTTCCCGTGAAGATGTCGCTCGTTGCAAGAATCTCGCTAAAAACAACAAAAATGTTTTCAATTTACTAGCAAAATCATTGGCTCCATCAATTCACGGCCATGAATACATCAAGAGGACAATTTTATGTTTACTGCTGGGCGGTGTGGAGAAGAATCTCCCGAATGGCACACGTCTCAGAGGAGATATTAATGTTCTACTCATTGGTGATCCCAGTGTAGCCAAATCACAACTTTTACGATATGTTCTTTGCACTGCACCTAGAGCAATCCCTACTACAGGTCGAGGTTCTTCAGGTGTTGGTCTCACGGCAGCGGTGACTAGCGATCAGGAAACCGGTGAACGTCGACTTGAAGCAGGCGCCATGGTTCTCGCCGATCGCGGTGTCGTGTGCATTGACGAATTCGACAAGATGTCCGACATGGATCGTACCGCTATTCACGAAGTCATGGAACAGGGACGCGTTACAATTGCCAAAGCCGGTATTCATGCCAGTTTAAATGCGCGTTGTTCGGTTCTCGCTGCTGCCAATCCCGTGTATGGTAAATATGATCAATACAAAACTCCCATGGAGAATATTGGCCTGCAAGATTCGTTACTTTCGCGTTTTGATTGTCTGTTCGTGATGCTGGACAGTGTCGATGAAGATCAAGACTTGAAAATTTCTGATCACGTTGTGAGAATGCACAGATACAGAAATCCGCTTGAACAAGATGGCGAAGTGTTGCCAATGGGCAGTACTGTTGAAAATTTAAGCACACAAAATCCGAACGATATCAACGGAACAAAAGAAACACCAATGTACGAGAAATACGATCCGTTACTGCATGGTGGCAGCCGGAAGAAGACTGATAAGATTCTCAGCGTTGAATTCATGCGGAAATATATTCATTTTGTTAAGATTATGAAACCTACACTCACTGAGGAAGCTTCAGTCATCATCGCTGAAGAATATTCAAAGCTACGTTCAGAAGAACATCTTGCAAATGATGTTGCCAGGGTAAGAAAGAACAAACAAACAAAATTAACTAAAACATCTAATATTTTATTTTATATTTATTGTTTTATTAGACTCAACCTGTAACAGCTCGGTCTTTGGAGACAATGATTCGTTTAGCTACTGCACATGCGAAAGCAAGAATGTCACGAACTGTTGACGCCGAAGATGCGCATGCCGCCATTGAATTAGTGCAGTATGCGTACTTTAAACGCGTTTTAGAAAAGGAAAAGAAGTCGAAACGTCGTCGTGCATCTGTTGGATCTGATCAGGAGGACGGAGAGGAAGAAGAAAATGATTATGAAGCGCGTCCAACAAAACGAACTAAGGTGTGTTTTAAAATTTCGAATATTTTGACTTTTTTAACTCTTTAACTTGTAATTTTATCTCTCGAAGATACAGGAACCGACAGAAGATGCTACTCTTCCACCTACAGAAGAATCTACAATCATGGAAGCTGAAACCACGATGGATATTCAAGTTGATTCAACACCAGCTCACATTGATGATAGAAGGTACCTATATATAATAGCAATGTTATGTTAATGAATAAAAATTAATCTTTTCTTCTTATTTTCAGACTTGCTAAGTTTAAGAGTAGTTTACAACGTGGATTTAGAGATAATCGCGTTCAATCTTTGAGTTTAACCAAAGTAAAGGAAATCGTAAACGAAAACAATACTTCTCCATTTACTGAGAGTGAGGTAAGCGCCGCCATTGAACGCATGACAGATGACAATCAAATCATGGTTTCTGATGATATTGTTTTCTTGATTTAAACAAAATTTACATTACATTATGATTGTTCACAGTTTTTTTTATATAATACATAAAATGGCTTGTATTCTCATACAATTAGAACATAATTCGTCTAATACCTAGTTATTTATACAATAAAATATACATACACAACAATTAAGTTTGTAATAAGTCATTTTACTAGTATTTAATTCTTTTGTACCAATTAATTTTATGTTTCACTTGCTACACTCCTAAAACCTGTAACGATTGTGATTATTACTCCTATGTTTGGGCCTATGATTACTACTCTGTTGTCTGTAAGGTTTGTTGTTGGAGTGTTGAGCATGCCTACTTCGTTCCTTTGCATGATAATCATGCTGGTGGTGTTGTGGTGGCATGATGGGCATATGCATCATTGGCATCATACTCATACCCATGCCCATTCGTAATACATCGTTTGAATGCACAAGGGGTGGTCCTACAAGCTGATTTTTGTTGGAATTGTTGTTGCCGTTTCGACTGCGCACAATGATGGTGCGATCGAAGAGTTCAATGTTGTTGAACATATCGATGGCGTACTGCACGGACACTTGATGCTTGAAGGTGACGAAGCCGTAGTTCATGCATTTGCCCGATTGGTCGGTGGGAATGTGCACCTCCTCCAGCGGTGCGACCTGGAGGAATAGCTCATAGAGGAGATCTTCGGTTACTTGGGATGGCAAATTGCCGACCCAGACGGTGAGGAGGTCATCGTCGCTATCCATTAGCGTGTGAGTGATTGTTGAATTTTACTTGAATGTTTGATGTAGCGTCGTTGAGAAAATGGAAAATAAGGTTTGCGTCTGTTTCGTTTTTCATAACACCAGGCATAACCTTTAAAACTGCGTCAGCGTCACTTTGACTTACAGTTTACAGGGTTTACAGTGATGCCATTGTTGCCAATTGTTATTATATTTGGTTTTTAATTTTTATCATATAAAAATTAAATGTATTTCTATCCAAGATTAATACTGATCAATAGATTTTGTTAAGTTAAATACTTAATATATAATATTCATACTGAATATAAATTTAAAACATATTAAAAATCTTTTACTACTTTTTTCTGCGTTTTCACTTTTAAAATGTCAGTTTTCTTTCGATTTTGATATATTTTATACTAGCTTTAACCCGCGGCTTCGTTCGCGAATATCTAAAATAATGAAGTTGCTTTCGTACGCGTCTGTAGTCACAGAAGAAGTAACAATGAAGTAGAATGGCGGGAAGTTTAAAATGGCTGAAAGTATAGTCAACTGAAGTATAGTGTACAGTCTCCATAGTGTAGTCAATTGGATTTGATGTTGACGTAGCTGTCGGTAATACAGTGTGATAATACAGTGTGATGGTACTATAGTACTTAGGTTTGAGCTTCATTGTTGGAATGCTAGATGGCGTTATAGTAGTCAAATAGCCAGATGCAGAGGTATTATTGGCTAAACAATTTCTTTATTTTATTTTAAAAATAATTTTTTTTATTAAATAAAAAGTAGCCTATAACCATTCGGGGTCCACTAAGAATATGTGTACAAATTTTCATGATGATCGGTTAAGTAGTTTTTGAGTGAAAGTGTAACAAACATCAGGACTTTCGCATTTATAATATTAGTAGGGATTTTGATATATATATATTATATTTTATTAAAACCTGAACATATTTAAGTGATATTTAACAACTCAGTTTAACAAATCAGTATTATCATAAATAAATCCCCTCAAGTTGTATACATTCGTGAAAACCTTGGGGTATGCAGGGTTAACGCAACCCATTCCAAAGGAAACGACGCCATATTGAATACCACTGTAGGTAAGTGCGCCACCTGAATCTCCATTACAAGTATTAGGCATTGCATTGTCCCAAGCCGCGCAAATAAAAGGTGCGTCAGGACCAACAAAGTAATTCAAAGGGAATGACCACGGTGATGCACATGCTTCTGGTTCCCAGATAGGCAACGTAGTTTTCTGCAGTTGGTCCGGTGAATCTCCATCTTGCCAAAGACGGCCCCATCCTTGAATAGTGGCTAGTTCACCAACGGGAAGTGTTTCATCGTCAGTAGGTATGCGCACCGGTTGCGCACGTTCGTTAAATTCGATTGGTTCATTCAATTCAAGAAGGGTCATATCATGGCTGTTTCTAATCATACTACTATAAAGCGGATGTTGAATTGACTGCTTGACGGTGTGAACAACGCCACCTTCAGATTTCTTTGTCATGCCAACCACAACTTGAATATCAGTGGGAGATGGATCGCTGTCCATGCAGTGACCAGCAGTCAGGATCCATTTGCTGCTGAGGATGGTCCCGCCGCAGAAATGGAAATCAGTGAGACTGCGTTGTAAAGATACCTGCCATGGTACTTCGGTTATGTCAGCGTCTTCACCACCAACGATACGTGTAGGTTGGGCTGCATAACAACGATACAATAATATAGTTTCTTTTAAATTTGGTTGTAGATGTAGGTTGTATATTATTCTTACCGTGACAAACGCCAAGCAACAAAATAACAATAGCACTTGTTTTGAACATATTGGCAATGTGGTGCAGGGTAACATTTAGATAAGTTTATATACTTGTATAATAAGATAAAAGTCACGTTTTGGTTTTCTCAAGTTTTTGATCAAAGATGATATACGATTAAATTCTATAGATAATCTATTTATGTTATCTTGTGTTGCTACTTCCATTGATTTGTTTAATATAAAGTGAATTAAAATATTTATTTTTAACTTTTAGGTTTTTTTTTACGGTTTTTACGTATTATTTCACCACATGATAATGATAACATTTTGTTTGAACATATTTGGAGTTTTATGTAATTGATTAAAGTCAATTGATTTCGTTAGCTTACATAATCAATTATTTCATTGTATCATTCTCGACTAGTTAGGCAACACACCGAACTTATGCAACCAGTTACACATGGTGGCAAATGTACGAATTAATCACAGACGGAAGTAATACAATTCGAATATATTTTGCATGCAGATAGCCACATTTCTATAATAATCCCTACTAATATTATAAATGCGAAAGTCCTGATGTTTGTTACACTTTCACGCAAAAACTACTTAACCGATCATCATGAAAATTTGTACACATATTCTTAGTGGTCCACGAATGGTTATAGGCTACTTTTTATTTAATAAAAAAAAATATTTTTTAAACAAAATAAAGAAATTGTTTAGCCAATAATACCTGTGCATCTGGCTATTTGACTACTTTAACGCCATCTAGCATTCCAGCAATGAAGCTCAAATCTAAGTACAATAGTACCATCACACTGTATTATCACACTGTATTACCGACAGCTACGTCAACATCATACTTCCATATACTACACTTTCAGCCATTTTAAACTTCCCGCCATTCGACTTCATTGTTACTTCTTTTGTGATTACAGACGCGTACGGACGCAACTTCATTATTTTAGATATTCGCGAGCGAAGCCGCGGGTTAAAGCTAGTAATATATAAAGAAGATAATAATTATAATTTTGTCTTACAGCATGTCGTACATGTGTACACACTACGTAATTGTTAATTGCCGTGATAGTCAACATATCGGTGTCGCCGAGCTCGTTGCGATATGCAAAGAAGCCTCAAGTGATGCAACAACCACTCATTACGGTGATCACAAATTCGCGTTATAAACCAAAGATCAAACACTGTAATTTAATTCACGACGCCCGGCGGGCAGATGCGGCACGTCTGCAAAACGTTACCTACTAAAATAATTAGCTATGTTAGCCTGACAGCTAATAATTATAAACATTCATCAGACGTACTGCACATCTACGTTATTATACTCTTTATTCTGTATTTGGTTCCACTCTACATAAACATTTATAAACCGTATTCGTCTGCTCTGCATTTCACGTTAAAATTCAGGATCAATTAAAATGCTATAAAATTATTAACAGTAAAGTCCACCAATTAAAGTTGTTTTTTTTAATTATATGACTGAATGTACAAAAATAGAATCAGAATTTATAATAAAATAATAAAACAATTGCTGTATGTGTTTTTTTCATCATTTTTTTTTTCATTTATCTTCATCTTCAAACTACAACATTTACAGGTACTAATTTTGTTACGTACTGTGTGTATGCATAAATAAATAAATAAATAAATTTGCAATAAATAAATAAATAAGTTAGTCACGCGCATTCACTGATTGCGCGAATCTAATTTTCATCGCTGCTAAATAAATTCAACGCATTCAAGTCGCACCAATTAATTTAATTCGATAATTAAAACCAAAACCGACCGAAACCACATCGTACTGATAATTCCAAACGTAAAAATTATTAGATTAGAATCCTTTACTTAGGCTTTACGCATTACGCACTAATTCTATGCATAGAAGTCTTATATTTACAGTTTTCTTTCTTGTTCTGTCTGATAGGCAACCCATTTGGCTGCGAATAGTGCACTTATCTAGTAGTTAGTTACTGTTGAAACTGTTGTGTTGTCGTTTAAGCGTTTGTTTGTATCTATAAACGTGATTTTTGCTTAGTATTAGGTAACCTAACTAACTATGTTATAAATTCTTCCAAAAAATTGAAGAACTTGCGGATACGATGCATGATCAAAGCGTTTTTCGTTTACTTTTCAAGTGACACACAAGTTGCAATTTATAACCTCAATGATTGCGCAGTCTTTCTGTCAAAAACTGAACAATCACGCGAGTGAATATGGCGTTCGATCATGCACGTAGCCGAGATTACTATGTTATACGCTTGTTTGATTGTTATTTAGTTCTATGAATAGAAGCAGTTGCTCTTCGTCAGTTTCTTATCCTTGGAGTGATGCGGATGATTGAAGCCAGCGGTTTTGTCGTTGGCAAACGGCCGCAGCCGCACGCAGAGGAAGGCAGACATCAAACACGAAACGACAAGTATGGCGAGAAGGACGACCAAAGTCGCCGCGAAACCCGGTGTTGTCATGCAGATAAGCCCACCCTGGGTGAGTTCTTCTTTCGCAGGGAATACCATTGTAGGTGGCGTTGGCGTCGTGCTATTCTCATCCAAACTAAAAGTAAGATCTCCAGTTGACACAACGCGGATAATACGATTAACGCCAACTTCTTTTTCTGGATCCGTGGGGTCTACTGCTCTTCGCACCCTGCGTTCATCACGTGGAACACCTCCGTGTAAAAAGGCATCATGTGGTAAGGCAGGTGGGGACCATATTGCGTATCCGGTGATTGATGAGAAGAAACATCCAAGAGACCACTGTGTAAACCAATCTGTGCGGTATTATCACTGCATTGATCGGGGCATTGATATCTGCAGATCTGAATTGTACATTGGAAGTGTACCTCCATGGAATCAGGGAATTTAAACGCCTGGAAGTGGGCGTAACTGAGCACTGAAGCGGAAGCTCCAAAGTTTTTAATCTTAGTAAACCTAGACATTAATTTCGGTCGAGTTACACAACCTTTCTGGTCAACCAATTGAATTGGTGCCCGTTTACCATCATGGGCCATACAGTTACGGACCAACATGTCAAATTTAGAGTCGTCGTCCTTGATAGCCAAGACCATAGTCATAGTTTGACCAATTTTAACAAGACCAGATACTTCTGATGCCCATGGTCCTTTCCCGACTTGAATCTGCATCCAGCAACCCACATTATCACCAGCAAAGTCCGTCCGTACCACGTCCAACATATCCACGGGGAATGGCCGGAATGTCACAGACTTTTCATACTGGTCATGCCACGTGCATCGCAACTTCCTAGCCTGGTCCCACACTTCCTGAACTTGTGGATCATACTGAATAACAATGATGTTTTCAAAGAAGGTGCCACTGCCACTTTCCGCACCATAACCATATAAACCATTCTCAGTATTTCCGGAGGTACCACAAGCGTGGATACCAATTTCAAAATGTGCAGAAGTCCTGCCCAAACCAGCTGGTAAATGTACACAGTGTACATTACTATAGTGTCCCTTACTGAAAACAATACCATAGAAAGGTTTATCAAAACCTATGTAGACTTTCATTAGATTTTTCTCGCATTTCACATCCAGGGAGACAATTTTCGGCATGTCAGGTATGGGAGCTGGCCAGATATCACCACCTGGAGCACTACCATATTTATCCATTGCTTGCTGTGAAGAGGGGGGAGGTTTATGTAATGGAGGTGGTGGTGGGCCGTTGTATGATTTATGATCAAAGTTTGGAGGTTTATGACTGAATGGTTTTCCACTACCATGAACCGGGATACCATGATGGGTCCCAACACGGTTGATGTTCCTCGGTGGAGGTGGTGGTGGACCATTATAGGAGTGTTTCGAAGGCGGTTTATCACCTTCGGATTCAAGCGCTAGTTGATCTGAATTCGTATCGTTATCTTCTCGATCTGAAGCTATCGAATCGTTGATTTCATCCGAGTTGGCTACTGCTTCCACTACATCGATGTCTTCTGACATTGTCAGTGATACAAGCTGAAAATTGAAATAAAAATAAATTAGCGTCGTTTGAAGAACACGTAAGTTATGAATGAAACGTTTTTCTTTCTTTCTCTGTGTGTGTGTGTGTAGTCAATGCACAGTTGTTGCAGTAAACGCGCGCGGTGTCAACAAAACGGTCCCACATTTCTCCGCAAACACAATCGATCCTTGGACCGTATGCGTTTGGAGCTTCTGTCATGCTGCGCTCGAGTTTTCGTTTACTCTCCTTACACTTATGCACACACATATCGACTATTCTAATATTTGCAGTTCGTTTTGAGCTGCTGTGATCATCTCGCACATATTTAATAACACTCATAACGGTATACTATGGGCACATGTGGACGCTGAGTGAATTTCGGATGGCACAGTTTTTTTTTTTATTTTCGGGCGGCGCGTTTTCTGGCCGTTTAATTAACAGCGCGATGTGGAGCAGCCGAAGAGTCGATGCCGCGATGCCGCTCGCGGCGGGCCCGCACTGATAACGGTGACTTGACCGGCCGCCGGGAGGCTCAATTGACCCACACACAACGAACGCAGAACGCACAACCAGCCGACAGATGAGAACGGACGCGAGACACCGCAAGACCATAAACAACCATATTACAACCCGCGATTCAACTGTCGATGAGTAGCCAAAGACTTTTTTTAGAGAAAATTAATTGCGTTTGCATATTATCCACCCCTAAATGTTTAAATTTGGTGAAGGATTGATTATTAACTGAATTAAGTTTAATATTATTCAGATTCTTATTGAAATTTATAAAATTTAAAGGTATGCAACCCACATTACATCAATTGTCAAACAAATGACGCGTTAGTACTGTCAAACGTCATTTTTTTCATTTTTCATTTTTTTTTCGATAATTTAATAGTTACTCTGCTGTTCCGAGCGGAAAATAATAAGAAATAACAAAACCAACATCTGATTCTTTTATTCTGCAAAAAATGTACGAAAAAATCTTAATTGCTTGTTATTTTTCCGCTTCGTTTCTTATTGATCTACGCGCCGCTCGTTATTTCCACATTTCTCAATGGTTCGATTGCATAAAGACGCATTTTTTAGCACGCCACGCCACGCGGCAAAGAAAAAAAAGAGAGAAAGAAAAAACCGGACCTATAAATCGAGGGTAACTCAGCGCGGGCTCCGAGAGTGCCGAAATCGAGTCGAAAACGAGCCGAAAAAATCTTTTAATGAGATTGGCTGAGTGACCCACATATTACTATGCAAGAAGCGAGAAGCGAAGATGAAGACGCGCGCGCCGGGGCACCAACTGTTTGGCTTCCGCCGCAGTCACGTTGCGAGAGTGCCCGATGTTCGATAATCGCGCGGCCGGCGTACATATCGATGACCGTTTGATTGCGATTGCCTCGGAGACGTAATAATTCGGCCAATTTGAGCGCCGGGCCGCGGTACCAATTTGTGACTTACACGCAGCATCCGCAGCGATCGAATTTTTGATCTAGTTCGGGGCTGGGTCCAACATGTAATGTAATTTCCATCGATGCGAGATCAATCAGAAAATCATAAATCAAGTTATAATGCGGTGAATCAAAACGCTCCATACCGATTGCATACAAATCATTAAAATTGTTATTGGAACAAAAGCCGATCCGAAACTAGAGCAGAACAATATTCAATCATGGCGAACGCATGCGCACAAGATGCTTCAAAATCTAATCCGTAGTCTTAAGTAGGCTTAGCTTGTGTTGTGTTGCTTTTTTTCGTAATGGATTGTTTCAAGAATTTTAAAACCAAACGTCTAAAAGCGTCCGTCTGACCCAGAGATCAACGGAGTCGATCAAACTGTTCATGACATATCCTGCTGGCCTGGCTCGATACGACCGCCGCTTGACCATAAGCGAGATTTATTTCAGCCGATTCTCGACGTTCATTGCCCATTGCTACTCATATCCGCATGTCTGGCGATTGATGCGGCGCAATGCGAGCGCCGGCGAATCATGTCAAATGCGCAATGTGGCCAAAACCGTGCATTCCGGATCAAGAACGGCTGATAAGCTCCAGCGCCAATCATACGAGCGTATTTTATACGACTTTGACATTTGACATTCACATTGAATTCGACGCGCACACCGTTATTTCAAATTTTAGGTTATTTTATGCTTACCCCGTGCATGATGAGGCCAGCGAGGATATATACGTGCAGCCGCATCTTGTGACGTATTTGTTATAACCTAAAATGACTAGATCCTGTTCCACCTGAGACACTCCTGCAAAAAAACAAGAAAAACACAATCATATTAGGGTTATATCAACGTTATTACAATGACAGCTACAGATATCTACTATTACCATAATTATATATAGGCAACACACATTACACACAAACATAAACAGTTTAGCGTGTTTAAAGTGAAGTATACTTTATAGTAGTGTTAAAATATGGATGATATGCAATATGATCATTCATCAATCAGTGTAAATTTGTACCAACATGCATTTATTAATGAAATTAATAAAATTACGAGCGTGTGACGCGTAATAAACGACGAAGCGCAACATTACTAATCTCGAACGCGGTTGCAATGCGAAGTAATTGAAGCACTGACGTCTTGTTCAGCCTCTTCGCTTGACTGCCGACTGCTCGATGGCGATATCACGTTTTATGCTCGCGTTTAGTTTTATAGTGTTGCATGCACGCTGCTTACTTCATTATAAATGTTATTAACCATCATGAAACATATTAATATGCATTATAAACATTGTATCAATGAAATAATATGTGATTGAACACAGTTTTGTGTTGTTTTGAATGCCAACGTCGTAAATTTCAGAAAATATTTACCATTTACTCAAAGTAGGTGAATGCTGGTTTGCACTACCAGCAAAGTTCATATTGTGTGCATTTATTTTCATGGTGGAAAGTAAGCTTCCGTATAGGTATAAAAAGCACGCTTCATAAATCTTTTCAAGAACTTAATCCGTCTAGCATGCAAGTAGTAAAACATCTTCAAGTGCAATTCCCTTTAGTTTCACTAGATTTATTAGTTCTTGATGCGTTTTGATGATCAATTTAGGTTTATGAGCAGCCTGCGCTCGATTTTATCTCAGCGCTTTAACCTTGAAAGAGTATAAAACGCACATAAAACACGCAAATTTCAAAGCACCAACACTTTACTGTTTCACGCTTTAATCTGATCGTCTTTTGTCGGTTGGTAAAAACGTGTCGAAAGCAACCAAAAGTTTGCTTTTCAAATGATTTATCAACAAATCTCAAGAGTGGCTTGACATTTACGCGTTGAAAATCAGCGTTTGTTTAGTGTTTTCGGTGTCACCATAAACAAACAGCGATAAAAACGGTGTGCAGAAGGCAAATTAAATTAGCGTGGTAGACAAGCACATGTAATGCGCAGGCGCATCAAGCGTGAACGAATGCACAACGAACGACGAAAGTAAACCGGTGGACGTGCACGAATCGTGTCACATACAAAATAATAGAACGTAAAGGACACGGAAAATTAGCTGCACGGCTTGCCTACGACCAAATTTCAAACGTAGGCAACCAAAAATACACAATACACAATATGTCATTTTGATATTTTGATATTTTGACATTGACATTGACATAAAAATTACTTAATCGTTTTATTAATTATTTTTGATGTAATTTTAGTAAAATAAGAAAAAAAAAGGAAGATTTTAATAATAAACAATGGAAACAAAACAATGGTACGCATTTTACCGTTGATTACGTCGATTGTGTTGATTTTGTCGATCGTTAGCAGAGGAGCCGCAGCGTCTGTCGTAGCATCACCACCGCACGTAATTAACATTACTGGCTGTTAATTTGCATACAAGACGCGCGCGTTCTCCCACGCGCCATCAATTATTTAATTGAAACGCATACCGTACATAATTTGCCGATTAGATTAATTAACCTTAGTCTCTAATGCGTCTAATACGCCCGAGTAAAGAATATTGTGTTGGATGTTTGTTGCGCTGCACTTTACTTTAAGTAATACTCGTGTAAGTTAACCGTACGTGCGTGCTGTATTGCATCGATTGAATCCGGCACACAAAAGTGTCACCTGCGCGAAGCTTATCCGCTTCTTACGCGGAATCACATTCGCAAAACACACGCAACAAATACGACTTGCTTTTTATGTCAATCGGCATCGGTTGAAGTCGTTCATGAGCACAGCGCGGAAACCAGAAATCGACAAAAGTATAAATTCAATGTTGTAATCATTAAACTAGTATTAAAATCTGCGAGGTGAAATGTGTGGAAGATTGAGTTTGAAAAATGTCATCACCCGGGTTACAGTGATGCTCGCGCGTTGATGTCGCCGCGTTTTTGGTGCCTTTTGAGTCATAACTCGGCGAGTTTTAAAGCTATCGACACACATTTTGCTGAAACATGTTTACGTTCAACTGACGCTCACCATTTGGTATAAATATTTATGATATTTATTGCTATTGAGTTGTGTTTTAGCACTTTGATGCGGACTTTACGATTTCATGCTGCTATCTAAGTTGCCAACTTTCAAAACTTTTATTAACTTATATCTAGAGATAATTAGCGTGTCTATTAATAATTTTCAACACGTGACCTAAGCCAACTTTTAACCCAATTTACAACCGGTGATTTTTTTCAAGCTCGTACGGTCGTGTTTCGTGCGTTTTAGCGGCGAAAACATTTAACCTTCATCCGATTGCTTCTTTTCGTATGGATGGTGTAATGAATTATAATTATAAGCTCGGTGAGCGATGCCGTAATGAATGTGGACCGCACGAAATTTAATCGCACGCTTCCTTTCGAAAATAATCAAAGTAAATGAATAAATAAAATAATTTTGTTCAAAATGCAAAAAAATAGTTGAATGTGATTTGTAATTATATTTTTTTGATTTTTAAGCTGAGCTTTTGTGAAACTGACCCGTCTGACTTGACCCGACCTGCTGGCCGAGTAAAGCCGGTGTGCGCACACGCTAGACGCGTCGACGCCACGCCGTTCACGTTTTATTATACAATTAATCATGGATTTGAATCTATACACATTACAGATTTTATATTTCGTTTAGATTTATTACTTTTAGCATGATTTATTACCCGATTTTAACAGGTGTATAAAAAATACGTTTTTAAGATAAAAAAAATCATCAAATAATAAAAATTTTAAATAATTTAATAACAAATATAAAGTATTATTTGGTTACAAATCGGTTACCACTTGGTAACCACGTGTTACCAGTCATTTTAAATGAAAATTTAATGAAAAACTCACCGAAAAGTGTTGTCTATAAACTAAAATAATCCTATGAGGGATGTGGACGTAGATACAAATCGAATCTTGCTGGTAAAAATCGCACTAGAACTGGCGTCAATAGCAAACATCCAAAGGGGCGCACCGACCAACCACACACCAGCTTACGCGCTCGGCATCGGCACGAGGAATGGAATTCACCTGTCTCACGGTCCACCACTATAACCGACCAGCGGCGCGACTTCTCTTCTTCCTCGCGCGCTTTCTTCGCGCCGGGGCCCCTCTCTCCGGCGGGCTCGACCGCCTTCTGACCCAGACACGCGCGCTCGCAGCAGCCAGGAGCGCGCGCGCGCAGGTACAGTTATTCGTCGGCGCAGAGCTGAGTCGCATCACCCCGTGCGCCCGATGGCCGTGCGCCATTTTACGCACGCTGCCGGTTCGGTTCGTAAGTAGGTAAATAATGCGAATCGTACACTCACACACACAAAACAGAAACGCGTGACGCGCACCTTGCGGCCGTTGAGGTTCCTGCGAGGTTTCTGCTTTAATTGCGTATTATGTTACACGATCTGCGCGAATTTGCATCCTATTGTCATTACACTTGGATAAATCGTAAAGAAAAACACACCTTCTTTTTTTAACATCAAATAACACAATTTTTAACCTCTCCGGGTCATCAGACATCATAATAAATGATAAATGATAAAATTTACACCAAAATTTAATCTCTATCAGTTTTTTGAGATAAAATTTAGATAATTATATATACGAGGTACCATCAGTACCACACCTGTAGAAGATTGCATAAATTTGAATGTGATTTGGATTTAAATTTGGGTATCCGAGTTCACGCCGAAACTTTGCGTTTCATTGGTGAGCGTGGTGGAAGGCATTTGACGCGCGTTTAAGTTATAGCAGTTCCAGTTCTACTGACCCGGTGTCCCGATGCGATATGCGCGCCGCGCGCACGGCATTCAAATCGGATCGGAATCGCACCTTGAATCGGATATTGAGCTATTACCGGTTCACTTGGCCAACTTGAGAGTGTTTATTGCGCTCGAAATCGGCGCAAATCGCACTTAATCATTGTATTTTTCTACGCAATTACTGGATCTGGTACTGATTTTATGCTGGCTGCTGTGTGCGGTGGGTCATTGATGTTGAGAATTTGATATTGTTATTTATTTGAAAGTATCTATAAAAAGCAGGAAAAAAAATTAGATTTATTGATTATTTCTTAGTAATATTTTATGTTGTTTTACTTAATATGTGGAAATACGCAGGCGGAAGCTCCACCCGTGACTAAAGTCCGTGACTAAAGTATTTTAGTCACTTTTTTGGCCGTTTGTATGTAAAATACTGCTTTTTGTGTCTTAAAACCGTGGAAAAGTACCAAAAATTTGAAAAAAATGATTATTTTCATTAATTTCACAATTTTTTTAAACAGAAAAAAATTTTAATTGCATAACTTGCAAAATATTTGATTTTTCCTAATTATTAACCTCTAAAACTTAACTTAACCTAATTTATTTCCACATAACTTTTATAAAATAAATAAAATTCATTATCCACGATTCTAAAGTCACGCTTTTCGATAAATCCGTTCTATATGATTAAACGCATCATATTTTCTCAATACCCAAAGGCTCTCTTGCCTATCCCAATCGCTGGCTATATAAAAATAAAACCATCAAACAATTACCATGCTCTATAGTTTATAGCGCCGCTAAACAAACAAACAAATTGTTTGCCTGACGCTCAATCTCTTTAACCCCAATTTAATCCGTGAACTCAAATTACCTACGGGTGTGATTTTCATCATTTTATTATTTACCATTCAACAGATTTCCTCATCACTGATATTAAGTGCTGCGTTTCTCGACATGCGATTAGATAATGTGACAGATGATGCCGGTGTGGAAGCACGCGATTCGCACGCATCGCCGGCGAAATTACGCTAAACGCAAGTAATAAAATAAATAGGCACACGCGAATCAATGGCGAGGAAGAAGACGTCGCGACCGTTGATGATGGCCCAAGACGCATGCGAGCGCATGAGCGCTGGAATACAATGGGGTCACTAGGTTTGAATTTTATTTATACTCAACAACTAATAAACCAGCCGGCGCAATTATTGTCTAATAATGCATTTTTGCCAAGTGCGGATGACAAATAAATCATCGCTTCGAGTCGGGAAAGTCTTCATAATATTTAGGTAATATTGGATATTATTAAATACGTAAAAGTGTGGATTATGATTTATTATAGCTTTTTAAACGACCACCCACGATATTTATTGAAAATCTATTAAAATATTTAAATGTTTTAAGCATCAAATTGGGTTCGGGTGCTTTCGAGCGTTGAAATTTCGTAACTAAATTTTATTTTCAAGATAACTACATATTAAAACATTTTAGAAAAATGGAATTAACCTCAAAATGCGTTCAATTAATCATAGTTTTGGATAAAATTATAAAATTTTGTGGTTTTAAGTAATAAATTGGTTTAAATAATAATTTTTAACGTACATTTAATGATTATAGTGATTAAAGTACTTTAGTTACGGCCTATAATACTTTAGTCACGGCTTTAGTTGTCCGTGTTTAAAGTACCACTTTTTGTGCCTCAAAACCATTTTAAAACCATATTTTTTAAATTTAAATTGGGTTCGTGTCTTTTCCAGCATTGAATTTCTGAAATTATTTTTTATTTCTTTTATAATTTAAGTTCTAGTTAACAGAAATAAACAAATTATATCAAATATTATTTAGAATTAACCATACTTTTATATACAATTTAAAAAATTTAAAAAAATTGAATGAAACATTTCTGAAAACTTCAATTTTATAAAATATTTTCGAATGCTTTTTTAAATTTTTTATTATAATAATAAAAACACTTTAGAAGATATTTATTCTTCATAAAATAATAAAATCTAGCTCAAATGAATCATAATTAAACATATTTTAATATTATAAATTTATAAACGTAGTTAATACTAATATTTTTCCATAAACTTAAATCATGCCTGGCTGCTACATAACAATGATTTATCGCATGTTCGTAATGGTTGCACGCATCGACCACCCACGTCCCACATGTGTACAATATAAAAATAAACAAAACATCTAAATCAACGCAAATATCCGACGCAGAGTAACGTGGTGAGCGCAATAATCTGCATGCGCGCGCGCTCATACGAAGATTTATTATCGACGCATAGAAGTAATAGTCGTCATTACCACCTATAATTAACGACGCCGATTAGGATCGATACGCGCTGGAAACATCTTATTCTTATACATGTGGCGCTAGTATTTGCTTGTGCGCATTGTTGTTCTATTTGCCGCTTTGCGCTCACCACGCGAGAGAATTGAAGAATGAAGATCGCCGCGTGCGATAATATTCAAATAGAGAACGTTTTGTCCAGCCGGCGGAGCGCCGCGGTTACACGACGGTATAGATTCATTCATCAAAGTCGAGCGCGATTAAAACGTGTGCATCGTGTGCGCGCGCGCGCGCTTCAATTACATTCGCATTTATTGAGATTATTTCTGTGGCAGGCTGGCAGGCGCACGCACTGAATGGAAATTGATTAATTCTTATTTGGTTCTTCTTATTTTATTCTTATTCTGGGTACGGTGTATGTTCGGACATGCGTTTAGTCTTCTTTTATGTATTTGTAACTGTTTGATATTCATGTCGATGCAATTGTGCGTGGAATACTAAATCAACTTGCAAAAGAGAATGATTATGACATTACAAGTACGATTGTAATAAATATCAATTATGTTCAAATTGAATTAAAAATAGTAGAATTGTAGTTTTATATTTTAAAACTTAATAAAAGATTAAAATTTTTGTATAAAATATGGGTATTTAGTTGCCTATTATATATTTATCATTATTTTATATTAATTTTTATATATTTTTTAATTTCCACCAGTTTTTCATGGTTTTGAGACACAAAATGTGGTACGTTATGCACGGACAGTCAAAGTCGTGATTAAAGTACTTTAGTCACGGGGTGGAGCTTGCCACAATAAATGCCATGCGTCTATAATAAAAAACATATTCTATTGCATGATATGCTGTAATTTGTCATTTGTCATTTGTCATTACCAGTTTATTAGTTATTCTTGCTCATATTCGACAATTTGCATTCATTTCCTGTGTGAATGGTCCAACATAACTTGTTTGGTGATTTGTGAACGCTATCATTCATCATCGATGATTTTCAGATATTACCAACGAGCGGTAATCGGCAATCACCAATGAACACGATACAAATATACAAACACACACACACAACCTCAATGGCTGATTATTACACTCGATATTATTAGTAGTCAAACGATTTCGGCGTCCTTTTCATCTGGCAGCAAACGGAAATCTCGCTGCTTCAAAGAAATCATTTCGGACAACTCTATTTGGCTTTTGTGATGAAATTATGCTTTCGTTTGCATTCATATACAAAAAAGCAATTTAGATGCACATTTGTGATAAATGCATTTAAATATTTTTTAATTTTGTATTATACAGAGTGTACAAAACTAGATTGACTAAAATTTAAGTAAATTTAAATGCAAAAATGTATGTCACTGGTGCTTAAGTGAAGAATTTCTTTGTTGGGTGCGTTTTGTTTGCCACCGCGTTACTTACGCACAATTGTTACGTAAACTTGCATGGTAATGAAGAGTGCTGACACCGTCGAAGTGCATTAATTTATTATCAAGACGGTAACCTAGAGACGCGTGTGTTTGACAGCTTCCCACGTGTGTTTTCAAGCCAGCGTTGTAGTTACTTATTTGTTTTGCACACAAATTCACTTAAAGCAGACGCTATCTGCTTGTAACTTAATACACATTACATTATTTACATTATTTGCATTTGCTATTAAGTGTTATAAAGCTTTTATTGCTTCAAGTAGAAAAGAAACTAGAAAATTTCATTACTAACATAACCTCAACTAATCTAACCTAAATTTTAAGTAAATTTTACAAATTTTTTTTGTGATTTTTCTTGAGATTTGTTGTATAAATTGTTATTTATGTGTTGTAAGATTTTAGCAGTGCCTAAGTTTGCACATGAGATTATAATTAAATTTAGTTCATTCCGGAAACCATAAATTATTATTAATACCTACCGAGTTCTGCTAAGTTCTAAGTAGTACTTAAGCTTCTGGTTTTGCATGACTTGTTT